AGAGTATCTTGCCCACACAGCAAAGCCTGGCAAGCTACCCGTGACGTATTTGATATGTCAAACACAATAACAAGTCTCACTATGTTACTGGGCCCGCTCGAGCACATCAATGAACAACGGGAGGACAGTGATGATGATAATGATGATGATGATGATGATGATGATGATGATGATGATTTTGCTGCCTTTTAAAAAAATGTATTAGTGAAACACCATGAGGTACAGTTGTAGACTTACAAATTTTTGTGCTTGGGTTTCAGTTATACAATGATCGAGTACCCATACCTCCACCAGTGCCCATTCTCCACCACCACGGGTCCCAGTATCCCTCCCACCCCCCATCCCCCCATCCCACCCTGCCTCTGTGGCAGGACATTCCCTTTTGTTCTCTCTCTCTTTTTGGGTGTTGTGGTTTGCAAAAGAGGCATTGAGTGGCAATCACGTTTGGTCTATAGTCTACTTCCAGCATGCTATCTTATTTTGTTTTTTGGGTCACACCCGGCGATGGTCATGGGTTACTCCTGGCTCTGCACTCAGAAATTACTCCTGGCAGTACTCAGGGGACCATATGGGATGCTGGGAATCAAACTCAGGTCGGCCACATGCAAGGCAAACGCCCTACCCACTGTGCTATCACTCCAGCCCCTCAAGGAGACTTTAAACCCAGGGCAGCAAGTGAGAACCTAAAGTTGGTCTAGAACCTGGTCCCCAGATCCCTACCCAGAGCTAAGCAATAAAATAGACATGATATTAATAAGTAGAAAAATATGTAAAAAAACTAATGGCTGGGTAATCAAGAATATCTCCCCCTTTATCTTGCATTTTTCTACACATCGATGGAACTGGAGGTTCTTATGTAAAGTAACTCAGAAGGAGAAACCCATAGGGTGGATGATCTCGTGTGCATTTGTCTATAAAAAAAAAAAAAGCAAGCAAAGGAATAGACCATGTCTAAAGAAAACAAACTCCCAGAATCTGCTGACAGAGCAGAAGTTACGGGAGAGTGTGCACTGGACAGGCAGGGCTGAATGCTTAGTGGGAAGGGGTGCTGAGTCTTTGCTGGTGGGTGTGGTGTGGGAAATTGGGACCTAAAACTTATAAACAATCTGCATGCACTCTTGATAACAGTATCACCTTACATACATTTACAGTTACCCTTACAACCCAGCATTCCCTGGGCTTATGATTTATTAATTATAAAAATTTATGAAACAGGGGGGAAAAATAAGGGTGGGCCAGCATGGTTTGGTGGTTGGATTTTGGCTTGTGGACCACAGCTAGTGGTGTGGGGGACTCCTCCTAGGGTGCTCATGGTACTGAACCCATTCTCCCACATGCACAACATGCGCTCAGCCCTGAGCTGTCTCCCCACCATGCATCAGGAAGGAACTCTAGCCTCCTCGAGAACAAGAGACACAGAACTAAGCGAGCATGAGACGGGGGTCACGGGTGGCCACCCGGAGGGAAGTGAGGAAAGGAGGAACATCGAGCCCATGGCTAGACACCCCCAACTTCCCACTTTGCAAAGTTGAACCTGAGGCCAGTAGAACACCTAGGAGAAGCCACGCTCCTTCCTCCCGCTCCTCTCGCTGAAGAGAATAAAGGGGGGACTGAAGCAGTCGTGCAGCGAGGAGGTCGTTTGCCTGGCACACAGCCACCCCAGGTTCATCGTCCCCAGAATCCTGTATGGTCCCGAGCCCTGCCAGGAGTGATTCCTGAGCACAGAGCCAGGAGTAAGCCTTGAGTGTCACTGGGTATGGCTGAAAATAAATTTATTTTAAAAAAATAAGTAAATAAAGAGAATAAAGGAGTGAAGACAGGTGCCAGAGGGATAGTATGGAGGCACTTGCCATGCTTGCAGCCAAGCTCGGTTCAAAAGCCTGACACCCCATCTGGACCCTGAACCCCACCAGAAGTGATCCCTGAATCCCTGGGCACAGAGCCAGGAGTAGGCCCTGAGCAGCCTCAGATGTAGCCCAAAAGCCAGAGAAGCTCACTCCAGGCTTAAGTGCTGGTGAGGAAAGTCCTTTTTTTTTTTTTTTCTTCTTGGGTCACATCCAGTGATGCTTGGGGTTACTCCTGGCTCTGCATTCAGGTATTACTCCTGGTAGTGTTTGGGAGACCATAAGGGATTCCGGGGATTGAACCCGGGTCAGCTGTGTGCAAGGCAAACAACCTACCCACTGTACTATCACTCCAGCCCCAGGAAAGCACTTTAATCTTGACTTTTTATTTTCCATAATGAATATTCCTATTTAATCATTACCTTTCCAACTATGAATGTCAGTGATTGGAAAACTTTTCACATGCTAATATTGAATGTTTTAAAACAACATTGTTTGGGGGGGGGAGTTTTTATTGAGTCACCATGAATTACAAAATTATTCACAACTGAGTTTCAGGCGTACAATGTTCCAATCCCAATCCCTTCAGCAGGGTCCACTTTTCTCCACCCATGTCCCCAGATTCCTCCCACTCCCTGCCTCTCTCTGTAGCAGGCACCATCTTTCCCTCTTTACTTTTACGCTCAGTGATTTACAATACTGTGAGTCCTAGCTGGAGCAATAGCACAGTGAGTAGGGCGTTTACCTTGCATGCAGCTGACCCGGGTTCGATTCCCAGCGTCCCGTATGGTCCCCCAAGCACTGCCGGGAGTAATTTCTGAGTGCAGAGCCAGGAGTAACCCCTGAGCATTGCCCAAAAAGCCAAAAATTAATTAATTAATTTTAAAAATACTGTGAGCCACAGGCTATCATGCATGTCAGTTTAGTGTACCCTTCCCTGTCCTATCTCCTCCCTGAGTGGCAAGCTACTGAAAACCAGTCCCCATGTTCTTTGTTTAAGAGAGAATTCCTTTTTTATTGTTTTGATTTTGTTTCGAGCATACTCTGAGATGCTCAGGGCTTACTCCTGGGTCTGCACTCAGGAATTACTTCTAGCGGTGTTCGAGAGACTCTATGGTCTCCCTCGGACCAAACCGGGGTCAGCTACATGCAGGGCAAATGCCCAACCCACTCTGTCTTCCCAGCCCCGACAAGAGCGTTCTTAACAGCTTTGGGGTGCTGGGGGACCTGGTGTCCAGAGTTCACAATCCAGTTGGGGGACATGCTCGGGTCAGTATTTGAACACAGAGGCAGTCCTCAGAGCCGTTTATTCTTTGGGAGGAGTCGGGGTGTGGGAGGGAGCTCCCAGAGGTGCTGGGGGAGGGGGAGGAGCCAGTCCCCATGAGATCCAACCCAGCTGTGTGGGCCTGACCGGTCATTGTCTGACCAGTGGTGCTGGCAGCCACTTGCGCCACACTGAAGAGTGTGGGGTGCAGGGTCATGCCAGTAGCTGAGCTTGGCCTAACACAGTGTGGTCAGTGCCCACTGCTACGCCACACTCCTGGCCCTTTGCATTTTCTTTTGTTGGTTTTGGGCCACACCAGTCTGTGTTCAGGGCTTACTCCTCTCTCTGTGCTCAGGGATTGCTCTCAGCAGGGCTCGGGGGCACCGACCGTATGGGGTGCTGGGAATCAAACCCTGCTGGGCTGCATGCCAGGCACGTGCCTTCCCCACTACCCGATCTCTCCAGCCCCTGCCATGCTGCTTCTTCTTTTTCTCAGATGGGAAGGGAGAGTTTGGGCCACACCCAGCAATGCGCAGGGAACAGGGGTTACTCCTGGCTCTGCACTCAGGAATTATTCCTGGTGATGCTCAGGGGTTACTCCTGGCTCTGCACTCAGGAATTATTCCTGGTGGTGCTCAGGGGACCTTATGGGACATCGGGGATCAAACCTGGGTCAGCTGCGTGCCAGGCAAGCTTCCTACCCACTGTACCGTCTCTCCAGCCTCAGCCTGCCTTTCTTTTTTCTTTTTTTCTTTTATTTTTTGGCTTTTGGGGTCATACCTGGAGATGCTTGGGGGGTTATTCCTAGCTCTGTACTCAAGAATTACTCTTGGCAGTGCTCGGGGGGACTTTATGGGATGCCGGGGATCAAACCTGGGTCAGCTGCGTGCAAGGCAAATGCTTCCCTCTTGGACTATTGCTCTAGCCCTGCCTTTCAGTCTTAAGGTCCCCACACGTCAGGATGTTCGGCTGACAGCACGGGCGTCATGTCTGTATCACGGTGGTTGTGGTGATCAGACACGGGTCAGGGCGAGCCCATTACTCAGGAACTGTAGTACACATGCGGCCTCGAGCCCATCACTCAGGAACTGCAGTATATGTGCCTCCATGCTTCATGCCACCTGTGAAAGTGCTGGAATAGAATTTGTCGCCAAGGCCTTTTCTGTTTCCTTGATTTCCTAGTTTTCTTGGATGGTTCCAGCATCCCGGCCTGGTTTCCCTCCATGCTGGCAGCCTTCCCTGCTGGGCCCAGGCCCCGCCAGCCCATCTCATCTCCACCCTCTCCCGCTCCCCTCTCTCTCTCTCTCTCTCTCTCTCTCTCTCTCTCTTCTCTTTTTTTTTCCTTTTTGGGTCACACCCAGCCATGCTGAGGGTTTACTCCTGGCTCTGCACTCAGGAATTACTCCTGGCGGTGCTTGGGGGACCATATGGGATGCCGGGGATTGAACCTGGGTCGGCCTCGTGCAAGGCAAATGCCCTCCCCGCTCTGCTCTCGCTCCAGCCCCCTCCCCTTCATCTCTTGAGGGCAGCGGTTGGAGCTGCATCCTCGTGCCCCACAGTGGACACTGCCGCCTGGACTCTGGTCTCTGACGCAGCCAGTGACACATGTGGCCCTGCCACCCCACACCACCTCACAGGAAGTGCTGGGGCTCTGGGAGCCTCGGAGCTGGGTTGGGCCCCCAAGCTCGTGCTGACTCTGGGTCCTTGGGGGGAGATACTGCAGCCTTAGTGCCTCCCAGAGGATATATGAGGGGGTGAAGCTGACGTGGGCCTATGAGCGGTTGCTATGGGAACGGCAGGTACTGTAGAAAGCGCTCGGTGTGTGTTCTAGTCCGGGGGCAACTGAGAGGACACGGCACACAGAGCAGGGAGCACTGTCCAACCTGTCGCAGGTGCTGTCCCACAACCTGTACACGGTACTGCACATTCCACACGACCCGGTGGCCCTGGAGGAGCACTTCCGGGATGACGACGACGGCCCCGTGTCCAGCCAGGGCTACATGCCATACCTCAACAAGTACATCCTGGACAAGGTGAGCCCCTCGTCGGCTGCCAGCCTGCCTGCCCAGTGCCCTCACCCCGTTCCTGCTCTCCGGCCCCTTCCCCACTCACCCCTACCGCACCCTCGGCGCGCCTCCTCTCTGTCCTCACCCTCCCCCCACTCCCTGTCTGGGTTCACCTGCAGAGCCCAGCGGGCACTTGTGCCCAGGATGGGCTCTCTCATGCCGCACTCCTCCTCCTCTTTCCCCTGAGGGGCTCCCCCTCCTCCCCTCCCCCTTCCCCATCTACTCCTCTACTCCCTGCTGTCCCCACTCCTGCCTCTGTCTCTGCTCCCCCTCTTCAGTCTTCCTTCCCCCCTCTGTCCACTCTCTGTCCTCCCCTGGGCCTTGCCTACCCCCTCCTGCTCCCCCCACTCCCATCGGCTCCCCTTTCCCTGTCTCCCCTCCCCTCCCCTCCTCCCCGGGCCCCCCTCTTCACCTTGTCCCCCTGACAGCCCCACTCTGTCTTCGTTTTTCCTTTGTTTCTGTGTTTTCGTTCTTCGGGCCACACCGGGCAGTGCTCAGGGCTGACTCCTGTCTCTGCGCTCGGGAATCACTCCCAGTAGTGCTCTGGGGACCATCTAGGATGCCGCGGATCAAATCTGGGTCGGCCACGTGCAAGGCAAACGCTATGAACTCCGGGCCCTCCACGCTCTGCCTGGGGTTTCCCCTTTCTTCCTCCCCTGGGCGGAGGGCCGGGTTTCTCTGGTGACCGACTCTCGTGAGTGGGGTCAGTGCTGGGGCAGTGCGGTCCACAGGTGATGGGCCCGGCAGCCCCGGGGGAGTTGAAAGGCTGGGCTGACGGGCAGGTCTGGGGCAGGTGGAGGAGGGCGCGTTCGTTAAGGAGCACTTCGACGAGCTGTGCTGGACGCTGACGGCCAAGAAGAACTACCGGGTGGACAGCAACGGGAGCAGCACCCTCTCCAACCAGGATGCCTTCCGCCTCTGGTGCCTCTTCAACTTCCTGTCCGAGGACAAGTACCCACTCATCATGGTCCCCGACGAGGTGAGGCCGGCCAGGCTCAGCACCCAGCCCCTTGGTGCCAAACCCCCAGGAAGGCCAAAGTGCCGCTGTCCTTTGGTCCCTCCATGCACAGCTGTGTCCCACCTCGTCCTAGGAGACCCCGATTTTATTTCCCCCGGGGCTGTTGGCCCACCTTGTTGGGAAAATGGCCAGAGGAGTTCCCTTTCCCCGGAGAGGCCCGATCCACAAGCACACTCGAGATCAAACAGCAGAGGCCGGAGCAATATCACAGCAGGGAGGGCGCTTGTCTTGCACGCAGCTGACCCGGGTTCGATCCCCAGCACTTCATAGGGTTTCCTGAGTCAGTCACTTCTGAGCACAGAGCCAGGGGTCAGCCCTGAGCACCGCCGAGTGTGGCCCTCCCCCCCCCCCAAAAAAAATAAAGAGCTCAGGTGACACTTTGAGCAGAGGGGAAGCGACTTGGGAGCCTTGCTGGGCCTTCTTCCTGGCCTCATGGCAGCTGGCGGTGCAGCCTTTGTTTCCCTTCCTGTCCTCTCCGGAGGGAAGAACCAGGACAAGACCCTGCTAGAGACCTACACAGGGGACAGGAGAAGCCGGGAAGGCCTCTCCGGGTCTTTCTCCCCTGGCGGTGCTGGGATTCAAACCCAGGGCCTCCATAGGACCGGCCAGTGCTCCCTGTCTGAGCCACCTCCCAACTCAGTCCTGCTTCCAGCATCACCTGCATCCCTCTCTGCTTGCCCCTCCTGCTCTAGAACTCCTCTGGTGACTCCCCAGCTTCTGATGGGGGGGTACTGAGCACCACGTGCGCTTTGAACAGGCACGCCCCACCCCATCCCTGCAGCATCCCGGCCGCCCTTAAAAGGAAAGGGATCCCTAGAGGGCTCCCCAGCAAGCTCCTGGTTGGTACAGCACAGGGACCCGGATCCTGTGAGGACTCTGTGCTGGGTGCCTCTGGGCGCCCCTGCCAGGCAGGACCCGTGGTGGCCTCAGACACCAGAAGGGCCGCTGTGGGCGGCTGAGTATGATCTAACGGCAGCAGGATGCACCCCAGTCACCGTTTCCTGTTCCTCGGTAACAGGCTTCCGGTCCCTGCCCTGCTTCCCCCACACCCCCCATCCCTGCACTCGCCCCTCCAGGAAGGAGAGGGGGTGCGGGGAGGCTGAGGGTAAGGACCCAGTGGGATTCAGGGGCTCTGAGTGCAGTGCCGGCTGCTCCCCGGGGCTGTGACTTACAAGTCACCGTTCCCCTGCAAAGGGAGGGACTGGGGGAGAGCTCACACCTCGCTGGGGCCCTGCACCCTTGCTGGGGGTCTTGCACCCTCGCTGGGGGTCTTGCACCCTCGCTGGGGTCTTGCACCCTGTCTCGTGTTTTCTGGGACTTGTTCTCTCTGTCTGGCCCCAGCTCTCAGCTCCCAACTTCCACCTCCTTCTATTTTGTTATTATTTTTATGACCCTTTCTGTTTCAGTCTCAAACATTCTATTTATTTTAATTTTAAAATTATTATTATTATTATTATTATTTGGGTTTGGGAGTTACACCTAGTGATGCTCAGGGTTTACTTCTGGCTCTGCACTCAGGAATTACTCCTGACGGTGCTTGGGGAACTCTATGGGATGCCCGGGATGGAATCTGGGTTGGTTACATACAAGGCAAGTGCCCTAACCACTGTACTATTGCTCAGGTCACAGCATGAGATGATGTGCAGGAGAAACCATTACTGGCATTGTTGCTGTGACCCACAGCAGTTGTACCCCCTTCCCTCCCAAGGACCCCAGCACCGCAGCTCAGTTGTTGGATGACCCCTCCCTCTCTTCATGGTGCCTTCCTCCCGCTCCCTCCCAGGGTAGAGGGTGTGTGGGGCGCAGGTTGGAACCCCAACCCCAAAGCTCAGCCCCGGTCAGGGCCAGCAGCTGGTGTGCTGCGAAACCCCCTCCTGAGCCCCAACCCCAGGCTGCTGTTCCCTGCGCTGGTCGCACCTGTCACGGCTGCCCCCGCCCCCCAGGTGGAGTACCTGCTGAAGAAGGTCCAGGCCAGCATGAGCCTGGAGGTGGGCCCGGGCGAGCTGGAGGAGCTGCTGGCCCAGGAGGCGCAGGCCGCCCAGACCGCCGGGGGCGTGAGCGTGTGGCAGCTCCTGGAGCTCTTCAACTCTGGCCGCTGTCTCCGAGGCGTGGGGCGCGACACCCTCAGCATGGCCATCCACGAGGTCTACCAGGAGCTCATCCAGGATGTGCTGAAGCAGGTCAGGCCCGTGGGGAGGCCAGAGAAGTTGTGGTTGTGTGTGCGTGCATGTGAGTATGTGTGTATCTGTGTGTGTGTGTGTGCATGTGAGTGTGTGAGTATGTGTGTGTCTGTGTGCATGTGAATGTGTGTGTCTGGTGTGTGCAAGTGTGTGTTTGTATGTGCTTGTGAGTGTGTGTGCATATGAGTCTGAGTGTCTGTGTGTGCATGTGAGTATGAGTATATGCGTTTGTGTGTATGTGAGTATGTGAGTGTGTCTGTGTGTGCATGTGAGTGTGTGAGTATATGTGTGTCTGTGTGTGCATGCGAGTGTGTGTGTCTGTGTACATGTGAGTGTGTGAGTGTGTGTCTGTGTGCATGTGAGTCTGTGTGTGCATGTGAGTGTGTGAATGTGTGTGAATGTGTGCACATGAGTGTATGCATAAGTGTGAGTGTGTGTGTCTGTTTGTATGGGAGTGTGTGTGCATGTGAGTATATGTGCACATGTGAGTGTGTGTCTGTGTGTGCATGTGAGCCTGTGTGTGCATATAAGTGTGTGAGTGCGTGTGTCTGTGTATATATCTGTGGGTATGTGGGGGTGGGGTGGGGAGCGCTGCTATCCTGCCTCTGACTTTGCTCTGGCCGCCAGGGCTACCTGTGGAAACGAGGGCACCTGAGGAGGAACTGGACAGAGCGCTGGTTCCAGCTGCAGCCCAGCTCACTCTGCTACTTTGGGAGTGAAGAATGCAAGGAGAAAAGGGGGACCATCCCGCTGGACGCGCACTGCTGTGTGGAGGTGAGGGTCGCGGAGGATGTCACGGGGCACACAGGGGTCAGGAAGAAGGCCAAGGCGGGTGAGCCACTCAGAAATTTCTGCTTAGGGGCTAGAGCAATAGCACAGTGAGTAGGGTGTTTGCCTTGCACGCGGCCGACCTGGGTTCGATTCCCAGCATCCCATATGGTCCCCCGAGCCCCACCAGGAGTAATCCTGAGTGCATGAGCCAGGAGTAACCCCTGAATAATTCCTGAGTGCATGAGCCAGGAGTAACCCCTGTGCATCACCGGGTGTGACCCAAAAAGCAAAAAAAAAGAAAAAAAAAGAAATTTCTGCTTAGTGTGTGTGATTTGAATAGCTCTGGGGACACAGGGCTGTTCTCATTTGTGTCAGCAAGTTTGGCAAACTTCAACAGAAGGGGCCTGGGAGGCGGCTTAGAGGGCTGAGCCAAGGTCTGGGGAGCACGGCCCTGGGTTCAATCCCCGAGGACCATCCAGAGTAACTCCAGACACTGCCAGTATGGGCCACAAAAAAAAACAAGCAGGAAAAAAAAACACAAAACTCTTAATCAAATATGAAAAATGATTGGTGAATTATGTGGACTTTGCTAAAGATTCCAGAGGGAAAATGTCTTATATCTCATACTATATAGCAAAACGCGTGTATGGTAGCAGGGAAGAGTCTTTAAATGTCTTTCTCTTTCACTTAAATTCTGTCCTCTTTGGCAATTTTCTCTCCTCACTTCTTCTCCACAGCCTCCATCTTTGAGTCTTTTCCTTGGTTCTGTCCATTTTAGAAGCTGACAACAGTTTTAAAAATTATAGCAAAAAAGATATTCACGGGCTAGAGAAATAATAATGCAGTGGGTAAGGCAATTGGTTTGCATGTGGCCAACCCAGTTTCAATCCCCGGCATCCTGTATGGTCACCCAGGTCTGCCAGCAGTGATCCTTGAGAGCAGACGAAAGAAAGAAAGAAAGAAAGAAAGAAAGAAAGAAAGAAAGAAAGAAAGAAAGAAAGAGAGAAAGAAAGAAAGAAAGAGGAAGCAGAAGGAAGGAAGGAAGGAAGGAAGGAAGGAAGGAAGGAAGGAAGGAAGGAAGGGAGGGAAATGAAGTATTGATCCCCCTACAGGATGAGTGAATGTTGAGCACTTGACACTAAGCGCACTTTATGTGAGGGGCTGAATACAGGCTTTCTCTACGGGATACCTGGGTTCAATCCCCAGCACCACACGGTCCCCCAAGCACCACTGGCAGCACTTCTGAGCACAGAGCCAGGAGTCTTCCCTGAGCACTGCCAGGCGTGGTCCTAAAGCAAAACAAAACAAGGATATTATATTGGGAAGAACAGGGTAGAGCTATGATGCTGCTTCTGTGAGGTGTCAAGAAGCAGCAAATCTGCAGAGACAGAAAGGTGAAGTTGCTCGGGGCAGGGAGGCCTGGGGGAGGAGGAGTTATTGCTTAACAGGTGCAGAGTTTCTGCTTGGGATGATGAAAAAGTTTTGAAAACAGATTATGGTCATGGTTGCACAACATGTTTCGCCCTTAGTGTCACTGAATAGTAAAGTTAGAACACAAGTTTCATGCACCGTTTTATTTGATGCATGCATCATTATTTGTACATCACATACATATTGCTTTGGGGTATTTTTTGTTTAGTTTTTTTTTTTGGGGGGGAGGGGGCCAAATCCCATGGTGCATGGAGGAATTATATATGGTGCTGGGGTTTGAACATAGGCCTCCTACATGTAAAGAATTATTGTTCCTCCAAAGAGATAGATAGGATGCTTCCTTATGGCCAACCCGGGTTCGATCCCCCACATCCTATACAGCCCCCTGAGCCTGCCAGAGTGTTCCTTGAGTGCAGAGCCAGGAGTAACTCCTGAGTACTACTGGATGTGACCCAAAAACAAGCAAACAAATTTTGCTCCAGCCTGTTGAGTGATCGTACCAACCCAGAAATTCATTCCTTCCATTATTGTATTTTTGTTTGTTTGGGAGCCACACCTGCCTGTGCTAAGGGCTTACGCCTCGCTCTGTGCTCAAGGATCACTCCTGGAAGTGCTCTGGGGAATACATGTGGTATTGGAGATTGAATTTAGGTCCACTGCATGCAAGGCAAGGACTCACTTGCTGCACTCTCTCTGGCTCCTTCATTCCTTCTCACGGCCATGTAGCATTCCACTGTCTCCATAGAAACCATATTTTGTTTATTCATTCCTGGTTTTTTTTTTTTTTTTTGGCTTTTTTGGTCATACCCGGTGATGCTCAGGGGTTACTCCTGGCTCTGCACTCAGGAATCATTCCTGGTGGTGCTCAGGAGACCATATGGGATGATGATGGGATGTTGGGAATCAAACCCAGGTCAACCACGTGCAAGACAAACGCCCTACCTGCTGTGCTATTGCTCCAGCCCCTCTTTATTCATTTCTTAAAAAACAGTTTTCTTTCTTTCTCTTTTTGCTACTATAAATAATGCTGTTATTGATGCTCAAATTTCTGGGTGAATATGTGCCTTTGTTTCTCCTGGACATATAAATATCTAGGAGTACAATTCCTATATCATATGGTAATTATTTATTGGGGAGGGTAGGTTGTTTTTTGGAAGTTTTTGTTGTTGTTGTTGCTGGGTTTTGTTCTTTGGGCCACACTTGGCATTGCTGAGGGGTTACTCCTGGCTCTGTGCTCAGGAATCATTCCTGGAAGTGTTCTGGGGAACCATATGGGATTCCAGGGATTGAACTCAAGTCGACTGTGTACAAGGGAAATGCCCTAACCACTGCACTATCTCTCCAGTCCCCATCGTAAGGTAGTTCTGTGCTTGATTTCCTGAGGGATGGTCAGGTAGATGTTTTATTTGCTTGCTTTGTGTGTGTGTGTGTGTGTGTGTGTGTGTGTGTGGTGTCAGAGATGGTTCCTCATACATGTCAGGTCCTCATACATGTAAGGCTCGTGCCTTTCTAAGCCACACTCCTGGCCAGAGTCCACCCGTTTTTGACAAGGACTGAGATTCTCAGTGTGAGAGGGGCGGTGTGTGCAGGGCCCTGTTTCCGCACATTCTTGCCAACACTTGTTAGTGAACATTTGAAAAACTATTCTCCTTGGCTCTGGGAGATAATACAGTGGGTCGGATGCTTGTCTTGCACACAGCCCTCCCAGGTTCAATCCCCAGCATCCCGTTGAGTCCCCCGAGCCACTAGAAGTGATTCCTTAGTGCAGAGCCAGGAGTAATCCCTGAGCATTTGCCAGGTGTTGCCCAAAAACCAAAAGGAAAAAAGAAAGCACTCCAAATCCTCCATGGGTATGTGCGTTTTGTCACTTCAGGCGTGAGTTGTCACTGTGGCATTCACAGGCCGATACAGCACGCCCCACCCCCACCGCAGTCAGTGGGACGTGGGTAAACCTTGGACTCTGAGAGTTTCCGTTTCTCCCTAAAGTGGATCTAATAATGCCTGCCTGGGAGGGCTGTATGGGAAATGAGTAAGATGATGCAGAAAATAGTATGTACTTCAGGACAGAAGAGGCTCGATTGTGGTAGCTATGATTTTTCCATTAGAGTAAACCTGGGGGACTGGAGAGAGTCCAGGAGGGAAGGTCCCTATCCCGGATCCCGCAACAATACGGTAGGATGTGGCAAAAAAGGAAACTTAGGGAGGCCCAGGATTTGATCTTAAGGCATCTCTCAGTCTTCCAAGTGCCTAGAACAAGGAGTGATACTGTGTAGACACAGCAGGAATGTCTCTGAGGGGGGTCCCAGGATGGGACTCCTGGGATAGTTCCCGGCTGGATGAGGACCTGGGTTCCATCTCCCACCCCCGCTAAGAGTGAAATAGAAAAAAAAGGTGCCGGTGGACTGAGCTGAGAATTTCTCAGTAGGTGGGACTGTGTGAGAATGAACATCTGCCTGGTGAGGCTCCTCACTGGAGTCCTAGTGTTCTCCCGAGTTTGTCTTAACACAATGAGATAGACAAGACACAAAAGTGGGGTAGGGTGGAAGTTTATTTCATCGTGATGGTCCAAGGGATTGCAGGACTCTTAACGCATTCGGCAATTGATTCAAAGACTGAGGTTGTATTTGTACCCTAAAATTATATCCCAAAGTGTTAACGAAGATTAGCAAGATAGGGCTGGAGCAATAGTACAGCGGGTAGGGCATTTGCCTTGCACTGACTGACCTCGGTTTGATTCCCAGCATCCCAGATGGTCCCCCAAGCACCGCCAGGAGTGATTCCTGAATGCAGAGCCAGTAGTAACCCCTGAGCATGACAGGGTATGACCCAAAAAGAAAAAAAAAAAGATCAGCAAGAGTAAGGACAGTTCTTACTTATATTTAAAACAAGATATGGTTTCCAGACATACATCAGTTAGTCTTACCTCCAGTGACAGCCACACCGCTCACAGGGGCTAATTGTTTCTTTACATAGCTCAGAGTGAGGGCATGGTCTTTGCCAACCCTTATGGGAACTGATGGTTGTGAATCCCAGGGGCTGTTAGGGATTTACATGGCCAGCACAGATAAGGGTTACATTTCTAGGGTTTGAATCTTACAAACTTTTCCTTCCTTGTCCCAACAGTATATGTGCAACGTTTTCTTTCTCCTTTCTTTCTTTCTTTCTCTCTCTCTCTCTCTCTCTTCCTTCTTTCCTTCTTTCTTTCTTTTTTTGTTTGTTTTTGGGTCACACCCAGCAATGCTCAGGGGTTACTCCTGGCTTTGCACTCAAGAATCACTCCTGGTGATGCCGGGGATTGAACCGGGGTCAGCCGTGTGCAAGGCATGGGCCCTACCCACGGAATCGCTCTGGCCCCTGGACTTTTTCCTGAACTAAATAATATTATAGCAGATTATAACCAATAACTTAAACCAGGACATAATGCTAGCAGGATCTGCATACTCAGAGTGGTGGTGATGGGGCTAGGTTCTGGGGAGCACTGAGTACCAAAAGGAAAATGCCTTCACCCCACCTCTAGCCAGCAAAGCCTATAAACATTGCAGGGGGTAACAGGGTGCCCAGGGAAGACAGAGAGTTAGGAGGGGGAGGGGTGTGAGCCAAGGGCACCCCGAGTGTTCCACGCTCATCGGCCGCCACCTGCTATCTCCTAGCTGCTGCCAGAACGGGAGGGAAAGCGCTGCGTGTTCTGCGTGAAGACGGCGTCTCGCACCTACGAGATGAGCGCCTCGGACACGCGCCAGCGCCAGGAGTGGACGGCTGGTGAGTGCTGGCGGGCTGGCCCCTGGGCTTCTGCGACCTCTCCGTTGCAATGACACTGTGGCCAGTCGGAGGCTGGAGACGGGATCTGAGCCACGAGGAACTCCATCCTCCCACGATGGAGCCCCCACCCCCACCCCACTCGGAGCCCCTGGACTCCTGCTGACCCTCTCCCGTGTGGCCTCCGCAGCCATCCAGACGGCGATCCGGCTGCAGGCCGAGGGCAAGTCGTCGCTCCACAAGGACCTGAAGCAGAAGCGGCGCGAGCAGCGCGAGCAGCGGGAGCGGCGCCGCGCCGCCAAGGAGGAGGAGCTGGTGCGGCTGCAGCAGCTGCAGGAGGAGAAGGAGCGGAAGCTGCAGGAGCTGGAGCTGCTGCAGGAGGCGCAGCGGCAGGCCGAGCGCCTGCTGCAGGAGGAGGAGGAGCGGCGCCGCAGCCAGCACCGCGAGCTGCAGCAGGCGCTGGAAGGACAGCTGAGGGAGGCCGAGCAGGTGAGGGCGGTTCGGGGGCGGGGCCTTGGCGGAATGGGCGTGTCAGGGGGCGGGGTTTGGGCTTCTAGAGCGCGTCTGTGCGGCTTGTGGGCGTTTCCGGGGCGGAGCGTGAGTGCTTAGGGGCGTGTCTGGGGCGTGGCCTAGGGAGGAGACGGGTTGAAGGGGGGCCTTGGAATTAAGAACTTGTAGGGAGCTTGGAAAAGTGTGTATGGCAAATGCACCCGTGTCTGGGCGGCACCTGGGGGATGAGGAGGAGGTGGCGGGCGCAGGACTTTGGCTAGGGAGCAGGACCAGAGAGCGTGGGTGGGGCCGAAGCTGAGAGCTCGGGGTACTTTTTGGGGTCCAATGCCCACACCTCGTCTGGGGGCGGGGCTCGGACTAGGAGGAGCCTCTGGTGAGTTTGGACCCAGGTGGCAGCAGATTTGATCCAAGTTGACAATGAAAACAATTTGGGAAATGCAGGAATGGAAGGAAGATGGGCAAATTTTGGGGCCAACCAGGCAGGTCAAGACGCAGCGATTTCGAAAGTGGATCTGGAGCCCGAGATTCGTGGATTCAGCCCCAGCCCTGACTCAGCCCCTCTGCCCCTCAGCTATAGGAATTTTTATTACCGTTAATAAAAATTGCCGTTTACTCGGTGCGATGGCGAGGTTCCAAATAGCAGACAGTTTCAGTTATCAACGCAATACCTTAGTTATCATTTAAAAACACAGATTAGGGACTGGAGAGATAGTACAGATGGGAAGGCCTTGCACGCGGTGGGCCCCCGCTTCTTATCCGGCATTCCATATAGTCCCCCAAGCATCACTAAGAGTGATCCCTAAGTGCAGGAGTGATCCCTGCGTGCAGAGCCAGGAGTAACCCCTGAGCATCGCTGGGTGTTGCATACCCTTACCCACCACCAAATAATAACAACAATGTAGCACTATCCTCCCATTGTTCATAGATTTGCTCAAGCGGGCACCAGTAATGTCTCACAACAAATTGTGAGACTTGTTACTGTTTTTGGCATATCAAATACCCCACGGGGAGCTTGCCAGGCTTTGCCATGGAGGCAGATACTCTTGGTAGCTTGCCGGGCTCTCCGAGAAGGGCAGAGGAATCCAACCCAGGTTGACCACGTGCAAGGCAAACGCCCTACCCGCTGTGCTATCGCTCCAGCCCAAACAATAACAACAACAACAACAAAATAATAATGATTAAGTCTGAGGCTTGAGCCTCACCCCCCATGTAGTCGTAGCCTCTGTCCACTGGCCACGTCTGACCTGGACAGGCTCTCAGAAAGGGATCAGACCAGGAGCCCTCCTTTCCCCTGATCCTGTGTCTGTGTCCGCGCAGGCCCGGGCCTCCATGCAGGCCGAGATGGAGCTGAAGAAGGAGGAAGCCGCCCGGCAGCGGCAGCGCATCCAGGAGCTGGAGCAAATGCAGCAGCGGCTGCAGGAGGCACTGCAGCTGGAGGTGAAGGCGCGGCGCGACGAGGAGGCGGTGCGCCTGGCCCAGACCAGGTAAAGGACCCCCAGGGATTCTCCTCCCGCACGCCCCCAGCGCGTCCTGCGGCCGCTCACCTGCGCCCGCCGCCCACAGGCTGCTGGAGGAGGAGGAGGAGAAGTTGAAGCAGCTGCTGCTGCTGAAGGAAGAGCAGGAGCGCTACATCGAGCGCGCGCAGCAGGAGAAGCAGGAGCTGCAGGAGGAGATGGCGCAGCAGAGCCGCTCGCTGCAGCAGGCGCAGCGGCAGCTGGAGGAGGTGCGGCAGAACCGGCAGCGGGCCGACGAGGACGTGGAGGTGAGCCCCGCGGGCGCGGGCACCGGCTTGAACCCTGGCTCTGTCCCTGTCTATCGGGCTGGGCCACCCCCGCATGGGTCTTCGTCCCCTTGAGTTTCAAACCCACCCCAGCCCCACCCTCCACCTGTCTTGAAAAGGGACTCTCAGAGCATTGTTGTGAAGATTCAATGAGAAAATGCATAATGTTTATTTTTTTTTTATTTTTGGCCTTTATTTTTTTTTTTGGCGGGGGGGTCACACCCAGCGATGCACAGGATGCTCATGCATTCAGGAATTACTCCTGGCCTTGCTCTGGGACCATATGGAATGCTGGGAATTGAACCCAGGTCTGCCGCGTGCAAGGCAAAAGCCCTACCCGCTGTGCTCTCGCTCCAGCCCGGCATGGCGTTTAGTGAGTAAGGAACACAGAAGAAACATTAGTGGCTGTTTTTGTTTCCTTTTTTGCACGTGTGTTTGTTGGGGGGGGGGGGGGGTGTCAAATCCAGCAGTGCTCAGGACTTACTCCTGGCTCTGTGCTCAGGGTCGCTTCCAGTGGCACCCCACAGACCATATAAGGTCAGGGATCAAAGCAGAACCTTGCAGGAGCGCACCTTGGGGGCTGCCTCCCCTGCCCCTCGGTGCTTTCCTTTGTTGGTTGGCTGGATTCGGGCATGGGGAGGTCACACGCAGTAGTCTTGACTGTGCTCATCACAGTCCCCTGTGGTGCTCCAAGGACAATACATGGTGCTGGGGATGGAACAGAGACTGTGGAGTGCAAGGCATCCTTTACCCGGGAACAATCTCCCAAGCCTCTCCTCTTAGCTATTAATCTCATTAATATTAATCTGGGCGAAAATTTCCTCTCCATCTTCTAAGCCCCTCCCCTGCGACCCCACTCTTTCAACTGTTTCCCTTGGACAGCAGCTCTCCACAGCAGAAAAGCTCTTTTTTTTTTCTTTTTTGGTCACACCCAGCAATGCACAGGGGTCACTCCTGGCTCTGCACTCAGGAGTTACTCCTGGCGGTGCTCAGGGAAGCATATGGGATGCTGGGAATCGATCCCAGGTCGGCCGCGTGCAAGGCAAACACCCTACCCGCTGTGCTATCGCTCCAGCCCCAGAAAAGCTCTTTTTTAAGGTTGGTTTTTGGTTTTGGTTTTGTTTTTGCTTTGGGGCCATAACCAGAGGTGCTCAGGGTTTATGGAGCTCAGAGCTTATTAACTCTGAGCTAAAAGATCACTCCTGGCAGGGCTCAAGAGATTATAATGGAGTACTGGGGATTGAACCTGGGTTGGCTGTGTGCAAGGCAAGTGCCCTACTCATTGTACTGTCACTCCAGCCCCTTTTCATTTATTTATTTATTTAAGGGTTTTTTTTAAATTTTATATGCTTTTAAAAAACTTTAAAAATTATTTTACCATTTATTAATTTTTTAGTTGAATCACAGTAATATACACATTTACAAAGTTGTTCATGATTGGAATTTAGTCATATTACGTTCCAACACCCATCCCTTCACCAGTGTACATTTCCCAGCACCAATGGTTCCAGTTTTCCTCACGCCCCCCCCACCCATCCCACCACCTACCACTATTGCAGGCACTTTTCATCTTCTGTCTCTGTCTGTCTGTTTGTTTCTCTCTCTCTCTCTCTCTCTCTCTCTCTCTCTCTCTCTCTCTCTCTCTCTTTCCTTTTGGGCCTTATGGTTTACAATACAGATGATGGAACGTTATCAGGTATGCCCCCTTTCCTGTGCCCTTCATCCCCCACACACTCTTGTGGCAAGCTTCCAACCATTGACCAGTCCTCCTGGCCTCTGTTTACCCTCACTTTGGATATTTATCTCATACTATAGATATAATTTTTATGTCCCACAAATGAATTCACTCATTCTATACTTGTCCCTCTCCTTCTGACTCATTTCACTCAATATATTCTTCATATCAATCCATTTATGAGCAAATTTCATGACTTCATTCTTTCTAACAGCTGCATAGTATTCCATTGTATAGATGTACCAGTTTCCTTATCCAGTCATCTGTTCTTGTCCTGCCCTTTTTTAAAGCAATTGGGGGCGTGGGGGAGGAACCACACCTGGCAGTGCTCAAGGCTTATTCCTGGCTCTGCATTCAGTGATCAGTCCTGGCGAGGCTCAAGGGACCATCTGGGATGTCGGGGATTGAATGTGGGTTGGCCACATGCAAGGTATGCACCCTACCTCTGTACTATTACTCTGGCACTTTTTTTTTGTTCTGGCCCATTTTTTAAGTTTTTAATGAAAGAGTGTCTGTGGGATGCAAGGCCAGCACCTTATCCTCTTTGCAACCCCTCCTAGACCCTCCCCTTAGCTATTTTTCTCATTAATATTAATCTGGGTAGAAATTTCCTCACCATCTAAATACTGATTGTTTAGTTGACTTACCTGGTTCTTACAGAAAATTCAAACAGAAATATGTAACATAGAAAGAGCAAGTTTCTTTTTTCTTCTTTTTTTTTAATTGAATCACCATGAGATACAGTTACAAAGCTTTCATGATTGAGTTTCAGTCATACAATGATCAAACACCCATCCCTCCACCAGTGCACATTCCCCATCACCAATGTCCCCAGTATAACCCTCCCCTTCCCAACCCTCCCCCTGCCTTTATGGCAGACAATTTCCCCCATATTCTCTACTTTTGGGCATTATGGTTTAGCAATACAGATACTGAGAGGCCATCACGTTTGGTCCTTTATCTACTTTCAGCACACATCTCCCAAAGGGCGAGTTACTCTGTGGTTCCCACACCTCTCACCGTGGTGGAACCTTGGAGAGAGGCCGTGGTGAGGTCCTGGACAGGGTCCAGGGGGCAGCAGCTCCGAGCTCCATGTGGGTCCCAGGGCGAATCACTTCACTTCTTTGGAATGTGTTTGTTTTGCTCAGCAAGCTAAGATCATAAATGTACTCACACCTCTTAGCCGCCTGATACACAGGAGCTGTAATTATGATTAATTCTTACCCTTCAAGGCCCCCAAATCCCCTGAGAGTGCAGGCCACTTCCGTGCATATAACTCATTGGAACATACACACGGTGTTTTTCTGGAGGTTCCAAGGCCTTGCCAGGTTCTAAGGGATCTTGACATGGGGAGTTCTGGCCCACCCGCCCCCTACACAATACACTGGCCCTGCCCCTACAGGCTGCCCAGCGGAAGTTGCACCAAGCCAGCACCAACGTGAAACACTGGAACGTCCAGATGAACCGGCTCATGCACCCGATTGAGCCTGGAGGTGAGCCGGGTGGGACTCTGGATTGAGGAGGGTGGAGGGTGGCGGGGTGGGGGTTATCTCCACATCTCGGAGCCAGCCTGGAGCGGCAGGGCCGGAACCCTTCATCCTCTGCCCTCGGCACAGACCGTTGTCCTGACCACAGTCGCCTTTGCCTTTCAGACAAACGGCCCGCCACCAGCAGCTCCTTCACAGGCTTCCAGGCGCCGCTCCTGGCCCGCCGGGACTCCTCCCTGAAGCGCCTGACCCGCTGGAGCTCACAGGGCGACAGAACCTCCTCCCGGAGCGGCAGCGAGCAGCCCAAGCCCCTCAATGGTGCCAGCGAGGCGGCCCTGCCCGCACCTGCAGCTCAGGAAGATCAGCAAGATCCGTCACCACCGCCGCCAGAGCACGAGCCCGTGTGAGCAGCTCGGCCCTTCTGCGTGCCAAGGCCCGGTCACAGCGGGGCTGTGGGCAACAATGGCCCCTGCCAAAGGGGACCTGAGGGCCCCCCGCAAGCCAGGAGGCAGCCCAGAATGGAACCTGGTGGGACTCAGTGCAGCGTCAGACTCCAGCACGGAGGTTCGCTGGGCTCCTTGCGACGGTACCCCATGCCTTATCCCCGAGGACCCCGGCTGAAGTCCCGGGACAGAGGAAATCAGCTGGCGCAGGGCCCTGCCTCCCGATTGCCACCAGGGCGAGGAGGCCTATTTCCAAATAAAAACTGCTCTTGGGATTAGATCTGGCCACGTCTGCTCCCGGCTGCGGCCGCCACTGTCCCGCTTCCTCACTCTGTAGCTGCGCGGGTCCCAGGAGGAAGGGGTGCTGCAGTGGTTAAGGGAAATACACTCCGCCACTGACTGACCGACTGACTCTTGTCCAGCTTCGCCATCTCTGCGCTTCCATTCGGCTGTGCTTGGTAGCTCAGAGATAGTGATCGTGCCTAGGGGGTTGTTTGTGGGATTGTTGTGAGGATGACGTCGTTGGCCTTATAAACCATTCCAGTTAGTAGTATCACTCCTGAAGTTCTTGTGTTTTTTGTAGGTTTTTTTTTTTTTTTTTTTTTTTTTTTACTTTTTGGCAGTGCTTAAGGGTTTCTCCTGGTTCTGCACTTAGCAATCACTGCTGGTGGTGCTCAGGGGATGCCAGGGATCGAACCCAAATTGGCCATTTGCAAGGCAAATGTCCTACCCGCTGCTCTATCATTCTGAACCCCTCTCCAGAAGTCATTATCAAACGCCCAGAGATAATGTAGGGATTGAGGTGCTTACTTTGTACACAGCTAACTCTGATTCAATCCCTGGCACGACATATGATCCTTTGAGCATGCCAGCCCTGAGTGAGCCAGGAGTACTGTGTTCAGCTGGAGGTGACCCAAAACAAAACGTAAAAATACCTTTGGGTGGGAGCCGGCATAATAGCCCAGAGGGTAGGGCACTTTCCTTGCACGCAGCTGACCTGGGTTCGATCCCCACCACCTCATATGATCCCCCAAGCACCGCTAGGAATAATTCCTGAACATAGAGCCAGCAGTAACCCCTGAGCATTGCTGGGTGTGACCCCAGACCCCCCAAAATAAACAATTAAAAAATACTTTTGGGGCCTTTAGTCTATGCCCTGCGGTTTCCCAGGTACTTGAGTTCTCGTGCCAATCCTGAGAGGTCGATCTTATTATCTCATTCCTACTTAGGACAAACTGGCAGGCTACCGAATGTAGCCTGCCCACACAGCAGAGTCTGGCAAACTCCCCGTGGCGTACCCAATATGCCAAATACCAGTAACAATGATGGGTCTCATTCTCCTAAAGAGCCTTGAATATAATCTCAGGGCTAGGATGAAAGAGACGTTACTGGGGCCTGCTCGAGGCAATCGACGAATAACAGGATGATTTGTGATTTGTGATTTGTGATGTGGAGAAATGGGACCTCAGAGAGGGCAATGACTTGCCCAAAGTCTCAGGAAATGCTGCTGTGCCCGTTGCTGACCCACAGAGCTGTTTCCTGAGACAGGTCCGGGGTCTCAGTGGCGGGCTTCCCTCCTTCCCCCATTCAGGTAAAGTCGCCATTGGATGGCAGACTCTCTCCTTCGCTATTCTTCTCACCCTCCCTCACGGATGCTGAGACCTTTGTGTCTGCTACCTGTGAACTCCCCTTGGGCCCCTCCCTCCATCCTGTCCCCGAGCTAATCAGTCCCCAGTGGTCACTGGAAGTTCATGCCCGTGGTTGCCATGTCCCGTGCCCTCACTTCACCCCCACGTGGCTATGAACAGTGTTCCCCCCATCCCCCGTCTCCCTCCATGCAGATCTCCTGAGCCCTCTCATGTTCCAGTCACTCAGGGAAAGCCAAGCTTCCGTTCCCGGGTGGGGCTGATGAGGTCCAGGGGGCTCCCCTGCCTCTGCCCCTCCCTCCAGGCAGTTCTCCTTGGTTCCTCTGGCTGCACCTTGGCCGGCCTTTCCTCCTCTCTCGCTGGGTACTCGGTTCAGGAAGGGCAGGACCTGTCCCCGACAGCTCCCCCCAGTGTCTGACTCGTAGGCGAATGCCTGCAACAAACGCCTGTTAAATGGATTCCTGGATGAACAAGTTCTATAACAAATGACCTGTCGTCACATGACCTAAAAGTGATGCCGCTTAAGGGTCAGAGAGACAGTTCAACAGGCTGAGTGCATACTTCGGATGGGGGAGACCCAAGTTTGACCCCCGGCATCACTTGGTCCCCAAACACAGCCAGGAATGACTCCCAAGTACAGAGCTGGAAATTGCTCCTGAGCACTGCTAGACATGACCTCTCCCCGCAAAAAAAAAAAAAAAAAGAAAAAGTGATGCATCTTAAAATGATTGAAACTCATGCCCATTGACAATTTTGGGGGGGAGGAGGGGCCATACCCAGCAATGCTCAGAGGTTAATCCTGGCTCTACACTCAAGGCAGTGTCTGGGGAACCATATGGGATGCCGTGGATGGAACCCAGGAGAGCTGTGTGCAAGGCAAGTGCCCTACCCACTGTACTCTCTGGACCCCAAATCCATTGGTTTGTTCAATAAATTGTTTTTGGCACTCTTGTTATAGGTAGATACTGTGCTAGGACCTCACTATCTGGTACGAAACAAAGCAGGCAAGAGTCTTGCCCTCTTGAAACTTTTATGCATCCTGCTATTAAAGTTCTTCTGCCAGTCTCCAAAACTCTATCACAAGGAGCTTTGGTACAGCCTAAACTGTCACGAGACAAAGCTGCAAGTGTGCATGGTATAGATTTCAGGTGTGGGAAGTGAGAATTCAGATTCCTCAGTGCAGCCACGGCTCAGGGGCAGAGCACAGAGTTAATCGCAAAGCTCTAAAAATATATACATATATATATATATATATATATGTATTAGGTTGGACCTGGGGTTTGAAATGGCCTTAAAACAGACAGGAAAGAGAGCAGGGCAACATGAGGACAATCAGCAGAAAGTTACACAAACCAGCCAGGCACAAGAAGTCTAGATTCTAGATACCGATTGGGAGAATTAGTAGTCTCCACCTTGAAGCAGAGGAGCTCTTTTATTGGGGGTCCACACCTAGCAATGCTCAGAATTCACTCCTGTCTTTGAACTCAGGGATCACCCCTGTCATGGCTTGGAGGACCATATGAGGTGTCAGGGCTCACACCTGGATTTGGTCCATGCAAGTCAAGCCCAACCCTCTGTACTATCTCTCTGGCCCCAGAAAATCATTGCCAGGGGCCGGAGAGACAGTATAGCAGGTCAGGTGCTTGCCTTGCATGCAGCTGACCGGGGTTGATCCCCATGCACCCTTCACCATCCCCTGAGTGCCACCTGGAGCAAGTCCTAAGCACTGAGCGAGGAGTAGCACCTGAGCACTGACAGGTGTGGCCCCCAACCAAACCCCTAAAAAGGAACAAAGAGAAAATCAAATTTCACATTCTCTATTTTCAAATGTTCTTTACCAAAAATGTTTTCTCTGATAATTTCACCTTCCCTACTTACAATAATGAAATTCAGAGAATGTGATTTACAATATAGCATTTACCTTGCATTTGTGAGGCCCTGGGTTTGATTCCTGGCACCACACACACACACACACACACACACACACACACACACACCGCTTAGCTATCCTCTATCAATTGTGCACTAGTCAAAATTGAATCTTAGGGGCTGGAGAGATAGCACACCGGGTAGGGCATTTGCCTTTCACGTGGCCAACCCAGGCTCGATTCCCAGCATCCCATATGGTCCCCTGAGCACCGCCAGGAGTAACTCCTGAGTGCAGAGCTAGGAGTAACCCCTGTGCATTGCCAGGTGTGACCCAAAAAGCAAAATAAATAAATAAATAAATAAATCTAATTCCTGAGACATGAGGAACCCCCGGGAGAGCTCAGTGACAGATGCCTGCCTTGCAAACCGGAAGCTGTGAGTTTGATCCCCAGCACCGCTCCACATGGGCCAGTGTCATCCTGGCAGTACAACAGGGTGTGTGAGCACTGTCACTACCCTGTGACCAGCACCACAACTAAGCACATGTGCTCTCTACTCACAACAACAAAGGGAGGGAAAGGTTTTAAAAACTAAAAATAAATAAATAAATAAATAAATAAATAAAAAAAGTAAAAATTCTTGGGGCTGGAGCAATAGCACAGCGGGTAAGGCGTTTGCCTTGCACGCGACTGACCCGGGTTCGATTCCGAGCATCCCATATGGTCCCCTGAGCACCGCCAGGGGTGATTCCTGAGTGCAGAACCAGGAGTAACCCCTGTGCATCGCCGGGTGTGACCCAAAAAGCAAAAAAGATAAAATAAAATAAAATTCTTGGGGTTGGAGCAATAGTACAGTGGGTAGGCCACTTGCCTTGTACGTAGTCAACCTGGGTTTGATCCCCAGCACTTCCCTATGATCCCCTAAGCACACCAGGAGTGATCCGTAAGTGCAAAATTAGGACTAAGCCCTGAACATCACCGGGTGTGGCGCCAAAACCAAAATAAAATGGAATAAAAATAAATAAACAAATAAATAAACAAATTCCTGAAACACTAGACTGGGCGGCTTGAAATGCTGGTAGAGGGTTTAAATGTGGGTGCTGAGAAACAGCTCAAAAGTTGCACAAGTCCTTTTTGTTTTCAAATCAGGAGGCTTCCAAATCTTTCGAAATGACAATGGCTTGCATTGTTAACTGAACAATCATTAGTGATATTTGTATTTGATTTTTTTTTCCTGGGGGTGAGGGGAGGGCACCCTAATTGGCGGGCAGAAGGTAATCTCTGTGAGCCAGGACTGCTCCCAGCCATGCTCAGGGGACCTCAGCATGCCCAAACACGAGCCCAGCCAGGCTGGAAGCAGGCTCAGAGAGTGATCTCCCCACCCAGCAATATTCTCTATAATAGATCGCTGTGGTTTGATGGGTGGTGGGGGACGACGACTAACCCAGAGTCAGTCACTCCTCTAGGAAAACTCAACTTCCTCTATCAAGGTGTGTGAACGAGGTCCTCAGTTTAAAGTGAACAAAGCAGGGTCTGGGGATGTAGTTCAGAGGCATCTGTAAGGCCTTGGGTTCCACACAGCAAAGCAATACAGCACAGCGGGTAGGGCATCTGC